GGGGGGGGGGGGGGGGGAGTTAATTGAGCATTAGGAAAACCCAATTAAAAAAGAAGAAAAAAAATGAATTAAGGAGAAGGGGAGTATTTAGGTAGATTGTAAAGGAGATGAGATTAGGAACTGAGTAAGTTTTGAGATGGAATAAATTAAGGAGGTGGAGCTTGTATTAGTAGTGTTAGTGTATTATTTACTACTTTGTTTATGTATTACATTTACTCATCTAACTTGTCTAATTATCTATTTATCCTTATTTTATACACTTACACCTTCTAATTTCATGTACTATTTGTATTTAATGCTTCCTTATTGACTACATTTTTGAATTATTACTTTTTAGATGATAATGAGGCACAACACAAATACTTTTAATTTTCATTAAATCCCAATATTTAAACATTTCTAATTATAAGATCATATTATTTTGTCCTAATTATTGAAGAGAAAAGGAAAGAACAAAAATATGAGAGATTGATTCTTGTTGTCTGATTGACCAACTTATTACGGCTTGTTATATAAGCTAGTTGTTGTCATTTCTCCTGAATGTGTTGTTGCAGGTGTTGCAACTTTCAGCCAGTAACATTCTGCACATCTGATTGTATATATTTACAGACTTAAATATACTTACCTATATACATGGTGTATTTTACATTTGCTTAGGCTCTTCTGTCATTTGCTTCAATAAGTTTTTCACAAAACGGATCTCTTGAGTTTGCTTCTCTAAACTTCTTAATTTGGACCATATATTTTCTGAGGTGAGCATTTCTCCTAGTGTTCTCATAAATTTGCCTCTCATTACTTCTAGATGATTAAATTTGTTGTTTGACTTCTTGAATTATCTCTAAAGTTGTTCATTCTCTGAATGAGATAAGAGTGGACTTCCTTTCATGTGGATGATGTGTTCTCGTGTTAAGTTTACTTCTTCTAGCTTTGACTTTGATTCTTGATATAGAGCATTTGGTAAACCTAAGGCAACTGAGTCCAAACCCAGTAAAGTTGGTTCAACTACCAAACGGAATAATTGCTCCAGGTGTTTCTATAGGTAGAAACACTGGGAAACACAGAGAGATTGGAATCCACAGACGGAGAGAAACTGAACTCGTTAACTACTGCACCTAGAGCTGCTCCAAGCCCTACAGAGAACTCTACTCAAATTTCAGACCCTATTTGTGATCAACAACAGATAGATGATCAGTACAGACCGATGACTCTGGGAGAAGAAGAGATCTTAAATATTCATGAAGAAGGGATCTACCGTGCCCCAGACATGATCAAGTTATCAGGAGGGTTATGGATCACTGGAGATCCTCAAGTTAGCTACTCTTTACAGACTGCTCCAATACAAGCCACTCTGGGAATGGAGGACCTAGATTAAGAACTGGAAGAATCCCTGAGGGACTCTCTGAAACCATGGACTCCTCCAACACAACCTCCACCCCCAGATTATCCTTATCTCCCTGAAGTAGTTCAAAAAGAGGAACAGTTAGTCTATGCAGCAGGAAAAGACAAGAAGAGATTGAGAGATGCTCTACAAGAGATATTAGAAGAAATGTTACCTTGGCTCAAAGATGATATCTCCCCTTCTGAAGCATCCACTCTTAAGAGAGCCTGAACCTGTATCTGATGAGATACAAGGATCAGAGGAAGCTGTTCAAAGATCACCTAATTTGGAGCAGCTACATTATTGGGAATCTTATGAAGAGCAGTTATATGAGAACCCTGGTCCCAGGGAAGCTTCTCTTCCAAATCCAGGACAAATGGATATCTATTTGAAAGAGAGGGTCTGAGGATACAGGAAGAATCTCAGAACAAGAAGTAACATTGAAACCATTGAGGAGCAGCTCCGAGCTCAGGATATTCCATGGATGGTTGGCTACCTCTAGGCGCTTTGAACTAAACCAACTTCAGGAGCTTAGAATTGTACAGAGGATAGATGTAATGCAGCTTGCTGAACGATGGGTTTCCAAACTGAATGGTATGAGACAGGAATAACTTTAACAGATGTATTTGTATCAATAAGATATAAACTAACAAAACCCATTCAGTTATACTCTGAGAGATGGACATTAAACTATTTGAATAACTAGAATTGGATAGTTTATGAAACTGGTACTGGGATCGATAGTGAAGCCTTTGCAGAGGAGGGGCAAAAGGTTGACCTTGATATCCCTAGGATTAATGTCTGGAATTTGATTGATACAGGGTGTCCCAATAAACATGGGAATTTAGTGACAAATTAGATATTGTCTTTTTAAATAATTCTATGATTTAGTACAGTGATACCTACTGAGAAAGCTGTAATCTGTAAGAGTTTTGTCTGCTATGTTCACATTTTGTTTGTTTATGTTTTGACTGCATACTGTTCTACTTAGTAAAACAAGAAAATTGCAGTATACAAACAGAGTAAAACTTGTCCGTCTTCACTGTTCATCTTGCAGAGACATTATAGACACATCTTTACAGCCATTTACCTTTTTCATAAAATAAACTCTAGCAGACATAATAATATTATGGCTTTTGAAATTAGGTATTACAATGCTTATTCATAGCAAAGACTATATCGAATTCGTCACTGAATTCCCATGTTTTTTGGGACACCCTGTATAAAATGGTTTAATCATTTCATAATATCATCAAAAAGCTATGGATAAGTGATGAAGGCCTATATTTCCGTTTGTGCTTGATTGATTGTATTTACAGTAATTGCACTGAGGGAGTTGAAAAAATCCAAAAGTCCTTTATAATCCTCAATTGATTGTAGCTGAACTGGGATACTTGTGTCGCCTGCAAAACTGACCAGATCAACAAGCTCATCATCATTTCTTAACACCCAATTTAATCTTATGGCTTTGAAGAGGTGAGTATTTCCTTCAGGAGTGACATTGTACTTATCTGAGCTGGCAGGATCGCCCTGTCCAGTTACACTAAGAATTTTAGTTTCCATCGTGCTGGATCTATGACATCTATACACAGAAGACTTCCTTGGTTGTCAGTGCATTGAGTTTCTACACTAGCTTTACTGGTGTTCCTACATGTTTCATCATTGCTGTTGTGGCTTTTAAGTTCTTGTGAGATCAAAAGCAGCTCTTGCATCCAAAAATTCTATTTGAATAGGTTCTCCAGTTCTTTTAGCTCTGTTGATCACTGCCTGCAGGTAGGGTTGTTAATCGTTTTTGAAAACAATCATAAAGCAATCGTTTTTTTGTTTCGTTTTTCAATCGTTTGAACTTTAAGAAAACAAATAACGATCGTTTTTGAAAACGATCGTTTTTTTAAAAACAACGAAGGGTCGTCGTTAATGATTGTTAATGACGGGTCGTCGTTACTGATTGTTAACACAGGTTTGTCATTAACTATTGTTAACAGAGGGTCGTCGTTAACGATCGAACGAAACGGCGATTTTTATAAAAACGATCGTTTTAAAAACGACCATTTGTAAAAAACGAACTTTTTAAAAAACGATCGTTTTTAAAAACAATCATTACTTTTTCGATTTTTCGTCGTCGTTTTCATAACGAAACGGATCGTTTATCAAAAAAATTATAACTTTAACATCTCTACCTGCAGGTATGTTCAGGCTTCAAAAAACTGTGCGAGTTGGGATAAATAAACTGTGTTCTTGTGGACACATTTTCCTAGTTTGTCAGCCAAAAGTTTTGCAATGACTTTGCAATACACTTCAAGAAGACTATTTGGGCGTTATCTTTCTGTGTTGTTTTTTAGACCCACCCTAATGTTTATAAAGGGATTAAAATTCAATGAACAAAGATTTAACTTCTCATTTCTCCAGGGTTAACTGATCTGAAATCCTGTAACTAGTTTTGTGTGAGTATAAAGAGTATAAAGAGTAAATAAATGTTGTGAAGGCTTGCTGGTTATTTGCTGGTAACTTGTTTATTTCTTTTTTACAACTCAGCCGCCATGTTTCTTCTTCTTCTTCAATCCTTTCTTGGATCTTATACACACACAATAAGTATTAGGTGTACTTGTTTGATTCATTTCTTAAATACCATTGTTTGGTTCATTTCTTAAACATCCTTGTTTGGTTCATTTTTTAAATATCCTTGTTTGGTTCATTTCTTAAACATCCTTGTTTTAATTCATTTCTTACTTTCTTAAAGATCCTTGTTTGGTTCAATTCTTAAACATTCTTGCTCGGTTCATTTCTTATTTTCTTAAAGATCCTTGTTTGGTTCATTTCTTAAACATTCTTGTTTGGTTCATTTCTTAAATATCCTTGTTTGGTTAATATCTTACTTTCTAAAATATCCTTCTTTGGTTCATTTCTTAAATACCATTGTTTGGTTTATTTTTTAAACATCCTTGTTTGGTTCATTTTTTAAATATCCTTGTTGAGTTCATTTATCATTTGCTTAAGATCCTCGTTTGGTTCATTTCTTATTTTCTTAAAGATCCTTGTTTGGTTCATTTCTTA